AGAGAGAAAGAGAGAAAGAGAGACTGGTATCCTAATCCCAGGAGGGATGTGGTTTGACTTCGATTTTAACAAAATTGCTTTTGTTACTGAGCGGAGAACTGACTGTTGGGGACAGGACAGGCTACCTAATTTGCAGAGCCCAGTGCAAAATGAAATAGTGAGACCCTTGTTAAAAAATTATTATGAATTTCCAGATGGTGACGGCAGAACATTAAACCAAGTGCAGGGCCCTTCTGAGCGTGGGACCCTGTGTGACGACTGCACAGGTTGTGCATCCATGAAACCAGCCCTGAGGTCAAAGGCAGAGGCAGGGGGCCAGTGAGGAGGTTTTGCCATCATCAGGCTGGAGGTGACAGGGGTGTGAACAGTGGAGGTGGAGAGATGTGGCCAAATTCTCTCCCATTTTATAGGTGGGGAAACTGAGTCTTAGGGACTGTAAGTAAGTAGCCCAAGGCTATACAGCCAGTGAGTGGCCTAGCCAGTATGAGAACTCAGTTCAAGGCGGGTCTCCTGCTCTGCTCGCAGCGCCATCTTGGTCTGCATCCCCACAGCCCACTGCAGGGCACCATTGACTCTTGCTGGCTGTACTGCCCTAGCACGTGGGCCACTGGTGTCTGGAGCTGTCAGATCTGAAACCCACCGCAGGCCTCCTGTCTTAACTTCTCTTTCCTGGTTCTAACTGCACTGCTCTTGCCAGCTGCCAGGCCCCTCTGACCACTGCCTCATCCCTGTGCCAGGTTAAACCTCCACCCCTGCCCCTCCATCCCCACGCTGTCATCGGCCCTCACGTCTCAGGTGGAGGCACCCCCATCCTCTTTGCACAGCTGGCCTCCCTAAGGCACAGCCCTCCTTCTGCCCCCGCCCAGGCTGCAGTGGCGCCCCCCTAGGTGGGCAGGTCTGGACTCTCCGCTTGGCACTCGAGTTCTCCACAGGCCATGCTGGTCCTCCCTCCTTGCCTGCCTGTTCCTGGAACCTGGCTGCCCAGAGATCCTGGTCCAGCCACTCCTTCTGTCCTCTCCCCCTTGTCCACCCTCCCTGCTTGTGCAGGGGGCGCACTCACCCTTGCTGCTGAGTTCCCATGGCACGTTGGCTGCCCAGCCACCATCAGTATCTTCCCATTCTGATTTCTGATGCAGGTATTTGTATCTTTGCTTTCTCTTCGCTCCAACCTGCAGCCTGCCACCCACCTGGGCTATGAGCGCTCTGAGGAGAGAGAATTGTGTCTCCTTGTTTTTCATTCATACATTTATCCATGCAGAACCTGCCACATACCAGGCACTGGGCTGGGTCTTACAGGATTTATAAAAATAAATCAGAGATGTGCTTCCAGTTAATCCACACGGTAGAGTGAACACTGTGTCCGAGGTCCCCACTAGGTGATAGCAAAGGGGTAAAGTGTGTCCACAGGACAAGAAGCATGAAAGAGAAGAGGACTGCAGGCAAGACACTCAGCTTTGGGGAATGGAAAGAGTCGAGTAAGTGGTAACCAACCAATGCCTAGCTTTCTCCGCTTTGGGGAGGGCCTGTGTCAGAGGTTCCGGGAGAAACCAGGTGGAAGGTGTCTGAAACGAGGCAACGTATACCTGACGGAGGTTGTTGGGCCCCAACATCCTCTCCCCTGTCCTGTTTCTCCATCTGGGCACTAGGTAGGGGATGCCGGAGGTAGGCCCAGTGTCTTAAGGCCAAGTCCAGAAGAGACAATCATCACTTTCACGCATATTCCCAGGACAGGCTCTTGTCCCATGCCACGCTTAACTGTGGAGGAAGGTGAGAAATACAGCCCAGCTAGGCAGCCACGCTAGCGTGTGGAAGGAGGGAGAGTGGATTTTGGTGGCCACCAGCAGTCCACCAAAATGGTGTCAAGAGATCTAATTCCCAGGCAGCCTGAGTCAGGAAGCTCTTAAAGGATGACCTCCACCAAAATGCGGACATGAACCAAGGAAGACAGTGATAGGAAACACANGCCTCATCCTAGCACAGACACGTGTTGGAAGTTCTGGTTAAACAGGCCCAGGCAGGGAGGCTGTGGTAGCTGTAAACAAGGCGATCTTCCCACACCAATAGTGCAAGACGCCCGAGTTCCTGCAATCGGCCCTCTTGGCCTGATCCAATGCCGTGGCTGCAGGTCTGGTCTAAAACCACATCTTCTGTGAGAAACACCACTGAAGAGGTCCACCCCTGGAGGCTGCTCTGGGTGGGGCTGCTGGGATGGTGGCAGCCCCTACACTCCTCTCTGCTACTGGGCTCTGTGACTACTCCAGGTTCCTCCCAGGAGGCCACACCATCAGCTCATGTCTCCTGACATGAGGCCTGAGTGCCAGGGCTGGGCATTTCTAGATAATTCTCCAATAGTACCTGTTCTAATTTCTAGCATCTCCCCCCTTTAGGATTAAAGAGACCCCATCCAGTTGGAGGACAGGCTTTCTCCCCTCACCTTAGAGCTCCCAGGTAACACCCCCTGAAGGCACATGGACAAGCTGCTCCCGACCCGCTGCCCCGCCCACCTCCCACAGGCACGATGCCACCTTCCACAGGAGCCGAGTGTTCACTGGAGTGGACAGCTCCAGCCCACCCAACCCACACTTGCTCTGCAGGGTCTCACAGCGGCTGCCCTTTTATCGTTTCTATTCATGAAAAACAAACCCTTCTCCCCTTTTCTGCCAGTAAAACAGGGCAGAGAGGATTAGACCAATGCAGAGGACAAGCTACGCACCTGGCCTCTGGCTTCTCTCCTCGCCCTTCAAGAGAGCTCACACTTCCCTACTGAGCTAATCTCTCAAGAGTCTTAGAGAGACCTTTGGAACCAGGGTCAGGAGGTGAAAGTCAAGGCAAGTGTGAACTCAGCACCAGCAGGTCACAGGTCTGGTGGCCCTCTCGAGCCCCCGAGGGGACTGGCTGACCGGGAACAGGCCCCTGCAGGGGTTTTATCGCTCAGAGTCGGAGAAGGAAGAGGGCTTAGTCCATCTCCACACCAGCATATCTTCTCCAGCCACGCGGTGGGACTCCGTCTGGATCCGGGATTCGTTGGAGGCCAGGAACTCCACGGCCCGGTCCCAGACCCGCTTCATGCGTCTCCTGCAAAGAGAGGGGCCAGGCTCAGCAGGCACGCTGGGGCTCAGCCGCTCTGCCCCTCACTGTCAAGGGAGGCCAGCTGGCCTGTGGCCCCCCTGTATATAAAGGGGGACAAAGCTCCAAGATCCCACTCAAAACTTATCTATGCGAGGACCCATCATCAGGTACTAACACAGACTCCTGCAAAAGGAAAAAATTTCTTGGGCTCTGGAAAAATGATTCCCCAACCTTTGCTGCTCCAAAAGCACTCAATTAAAGGAAGCCAAAAGGGGCCAGAGGTGTCCAGAGCAGCCATGGGTGTCCAGGTGGGAAGGGGCTGTGCTCAGTGGACCTGTTATTGCAGTAGCCTGGCCAGGCAGTTCCCAAACCAGTGAGGCCTCCATCTGAATGACTCATGTGGGCCATTAAAGAGAGGCTGCTGGGCTGTTGAGTCCAAACTCCACAGCACTTCAGCGGATGGGGATGAGCTAAGCATCTAACAGGGAAGGCTACGAAGCTGGAGCTGCTCCTGGAAGCAGAGTCCCCGGGCAGGGCCCCTTCTGGCTGGCTGGCCTTGGGCCTCAGCCTAGGAGCCAGAGGCCCTGCTCTGCTGGGTCCTCAGGGCCTTGCACCCCCTCAGAGAGCCCTGTATTCCTTTTCCCCCTCTAGATGTGAAGACTCAGTGCCTCTGTGAGGTTGGGGAGGGCTGTTGGGTGTCTACCCTTTGATGATCCCCTGCCTTTTGTCAGCACCACAGACCACCTCCCATGAACCCATGAGTGAGTGTATGCATGAGGGGGAGCAGGCAGGCTCAAGCTGGGGGAAGCTCCTGAAGCAGCCTGTGAGTCAGGAGGCAGAGGGGGTGTTGTGGCTTTCTTCCCTGGGGGCTAGGTCCTGCCACTGACCAAATCCCCCAGCTATTTAGCAGGCCCACTTGGCTGGTCTGGCAAAGGCTACAATGCCTGGGGACTGAGCCTGTCACGCTGGGCCCTGAAGGGGAGGCAGCCTGCACTGTGTGGGGCCGTCATTCTCAGACTGCCTGTTAACAGGTAATGAACAAGCGGCAGAGCAGCTGCTCTCCTCTGCTGCCTGCTTTCCTCACATCTCCCTCCGTCTCTCGGGATTAGGCCCTCATCCACAAGGCACATCCGAGTGCGCCCATGCAAGGCCGGCAGGGGCTCGTGCCCATAGGAGTCCAGAGCGTGGCTGCACTGACTGGGCAGCTTGCAGACGAATCAGGCTGAGTGGCAGGGTGTGGGCTTCCCAGGGTCACTCAGACCCTGCCGGGTGACTGCCTGTGGTCTCTGCTGATGCACAGGAGCTGAGGCCTGTAGGCTCAGCCACTTCTGCTCTCATTTAACTGAACATGTTGCATATAATTAAAACCCGAACAATAACGGCTGCTCTCTGATGAGTGCTCAAGTGCTGGGCAATCAATGACTTAGTGAGCTGTGAGGCCAGCTCCTCCATTCCTTAGGCCTTGTCACCACCTACTAGGACACATTTTCCTTATGCATCTTCCTGTGTCTTCCTCCTTAGAACCAATGCTCCAGCAGGCAGGGAATTTGCTTCTTCCACTCTCCACGGTCTCCCCATGACCCAGGATAGTGTGGCACAATAAACACTTGCTGAGTGAATGAATGAATGACAGCCNCTTGTCCCATGCCACGCTTAACTGTGGAGGAAGGTGAGAAATACAGCCCAGCTAGGCAGCCACGCTAGCGTGTGGAAGGAGGGAGAGTGGATTTTGGTGGCCACCAGCAGTCCACCAAAACGGTGTCAAGAGATCTAATTCCCAGGCAGCCTGAGTCAGGAAGCTCTTAAAGGATGACCTCCACCAAAATGCGGACATGAACCAAGGAAGACAGTGATAGGAAACACAGTAAGCAGGACTCCAGTGCTGGAAGGTGGTGGAGGGTGGCCCGGCACCTCCAGGTCCTTCAGGCCTGGAGAGCCCTCCAGGACTGGTCAGATCACCAGAGGGGTGTGACTGCCTCCAGAGGAGGTTTAAAGTCTGCAGAGGAAATGGGGATAGATTGATGATGACAGGAACAGAGAAATCTCAGGAAACAAGCACCGAAAGGCAAATTGATTAACTTCAGGACACAGAAAATTTCATAGGAAACAAATGTAATCCTGGGACACGATAGGATTCAGCTGGGATAACATCTGCAGTAATGTAAACATGGGAAGTCAATTTCATAAAAATCGTAACATAAGGATAGAGTCAGGATGGGGGAGGGGAAATGGGTGACAGGTGGTTAAATCTTAATGGGAGGTTAAATTCTAATCTTCAACAATAAGAAGTCAATAGGTAAAACCTAAAATAGAAAAGCCACGCATTGCTAGTATATGCATGTTATGGAGAAATAAGACAGGGAGCAGAAAATGGCCACGTAGGTGAAAATAGATCTGGGGGTGGGGCAGGGGACAGCTGCTCTTTCTTCATAAGCCATGAAATACTATTTGGTTTTTAAAATTATCTCCATGTGTTACTTTAATAAAAATGTAACTTACCTAACAAGGAGGGGAGAGTAGTTTACCACAATTTAAAAAGAACAAGGAAGCAAAGGAAAGGAAAAGAAGAGGTCCCCAGTGTGCTGGCCCAGTGCACCAACGTGGAGGAGCGGAGCCGCCTTGCCCAGCTGACGCCCACAGAGAAGTAAATGGTGCAGCTGGGTCCGTGGAGGTGGAATGGGCTGAGAACACGGTGGGAGGTCAGGGCAGATGTTAATATGAGAAACTAATACTTGCTAATGGGTTCATCGCTCCACCTCTCAGACACCACCAGGCACTTCTGCAGCTTCCTGGCGGGGTGCAGCTCAGAGCGACCAGCTGGAGAGGTGCTAGGTGGGCAGTGGAGGCCATTCCCTCTGCCTTCCCCTCAGGTCACTTGGGCCCAGAGTCTTCTGTTTCCTGGATTTCGTGTTGCACGCAGCAGCTGGAAGGTGAGAGCAGTGGTGGGTACGTGCTTGCGTGCGTAATTTTTCACGTGAGCACATGTGTACAGGAGTGCACGTGTGAGCACATATGTGGGGGAGTGTGCATGTGTGAATGGTGTCTTTGGGTGGAGGGGGGTAAGTCCGTCCTGTCCAGTCTTGCTCTCTGCACACAGGAATGGCCTGCTTCCCCCTCACGTGTCTTTAGAGCTGGCCTTTGGACAAAGCTGTGTAGCCAGCAAAATCCTGGGAACCCTCACCCCACCCCAACTTGGCTTGTATTTCTTCACCAGGACGCTAGGCATTCTCTCTCTTCTTTCCTTTGATGAATCTACTCCTGGGTGAGGCTTTGATAGATTTGCATTTTTAAAAAGGATAAAGTATTAAGCTAAAGGCATGAATATTTAATGGCGGAATTTCAGGCCTCTTCTTCTTAGGAGAGGTTTTATTTGTTTGGCTCTGGTTTAGTTTTGTCAGGGAAGCTTCCCTGTGTCCCTGGGGCCACCCTGAAGGCCCAGGCTCCCTCCTGGACACTGTTGGCCGGGTCTCTCCCCACCATCTGCCAGAGCATTTTTCTGGGGTGGGGGTGGGGTCATTAGCTTTATCTGATGCCCAAACGGGTCCCCAGACACTCTCTGCTCCTGCCTTCAGCTTGTCCCTTTCCCTCCTGCCCTGCCCTGTCCAGGCACACCCTTCCCCGAGGGAAGTGGGGAGTCCTCTGGGGCCAGGAGTGACCTGCACCCCCTCTGCAGGGCTGGGGGTGGGCAGAGGACACCTGTGCCACATCTGAGTCTGGTTTGATAGCTGTGACACAATGTCAGCTCTTACCTGGACCTAACTCCCCCATCTCAGTTTGGGGTTGCAGCTACTCTAAGTGGAGTGAACCCCTCAGCCCCAGGTGGGTGCCCCCAACAGTCAACCAGGGGGCTTTGTGCCCCAGGGCATGCTACAGGGGACACATCAGGCTCTTCTCAATGTGCCCTGCTCCCCACCCCACCACACCCCTTCTCTCCCAGAGCAGCCCGATTGCAGCCTCCATGATCTTCAGTCCTGGAAGGTGAAGAGAGAGTTCATCTTGGGGTTGTGCCAGCTGGTGTGTGGGTCTGGGGACCTGGCTGAATCCCTGGTCCTCCCTGGATCCAGTCTCCTTATCCTCAGCTTCTGGCCACCTGGGGGCCTGTACCTAGAGCTTCATCTCCTGGGGTGCCAGCATCCCTGACTGGCATCCCTAGTCTGCCCAGAGTCCCTCAGGCCCACTGTGTGTTCAGCCTTGGGGCTCCTCACCGGAAGCCTCAGAGCCCTGCTTTTCCCATCATTCAGCCCAGCTCTCAGGGTGTCGGGACTCTGGCCTGACCCTGTAAGACATGCCTCAGCCCAGGCCAGGGCCTGTGGCCGGGGATCCTGTCTGCCCTGAAACAAGGTGGCCGGGCCCAGAGTCACTACTGGCCCCAGAGCTGGTGGGGAGGTTGGCTGGCCACCTCCCTTCCCTCCTGTTGTGCTGCTGACCCCTACTGGCCACCCCCACACAACCCTCCACACACACCCTCCACAGGCTGATGGTGCTTGAATGCTTCTGGGTGCATGGGGCTCACCACCTCACGCAGCAGCCTGCTCCAGGCATAGATGCTTCTGCCTCTTAGAAAAGTCCTTTGAAATTAGCTGAAGTGTGAATACTGGTCACTTCCATCTGTTTATTCATAGTCATACCCTCAGGAGTCACACATTTTCTTCTTTTTCTTCCTCCTCCTCCTCCTCCTCCTCCTCCTCCTTCATCATCATTATCATCATCATCATCATCACTCTCTATGTACCAGGCACAGTGCATTATGTCGTTTAATCCTTTCAATACCTGTGAGGTTGATACCTGTGTCGTCTCCATTCTATAGATGGGAAACCTGAGCTCCAGAGGAAGAGTGTCACCTTGTAAATCACACAGGCAGGGAGTCGCAGAACCTGGGACTCCAGTCCAGAGTCCACACCCTTGCAGGCTAGAGATGCGCCCGTCCCACCCCCACCCCCACCCGGCTTGTTCTTGCTTCCCTGCCCTCGAGGCCTGCTGCCCCACATAAACACAAACCCTTCTTC